ATTATTTGACTTTTCTTTAAGTTTATTTGCGATTAAAAAAGTAACTTTTCTAGATTTCACACGCTTGAATTTCGGTCTATTCCACTTTGATAACCTGGATTTGATCACCCAGGTGATCAAAGTGGACTTCTTATTTATGGGTGTTCAAAGGACTCCAAAGTGTCGCCTGGAGTCCACTTGCATTTTAAAATTTGATATCGCAAAGCGCGAAGCAGATAGTAAGTATCAAGGTTTACTGGTAGAAAATGCTGTAAAGCATTAAGTCCGCCAATTCTACTGTTTTTTGTGCAAAAAAGTTTAAATAGAGAAAAAGTGATATCTCACAGTAAGTACGAGTAGGAACAGTCAGCGTCAAATAGTTCATGACACCTGAAGTGGCCAAAAAGTACACAACCTTATTCCAATTGTAATAAAGACGTTGCGAACTTTTTGGCTACTTTGGGTTCGTTTGTATCAGCCAAACGACGTCCACTGCTGGACAAAGGCCTCCCCCAAGGTTTTCCACAATGCACGGTCCTGCGCTGCCCGCATCCAGGCTCTTCCCGCGACCTTTACCAGATCGTCGGTCCACTTTGGTCACGAACTGTTTGACGCTGACTGCAGATACATAGGGCTTGTGTTTTTGATTAAAAATGGAAAGACGATGGTGGTAGGTCACTATCTACTTATACCACATAATCTCATACTTACGTCTAATACCTCTAGCTATAGCACACTCTCCTTGGTTTGAACTATCACATAAACTAGGCCCCATAGGAGGTAGAGATGATGATACTAAAAAAGAAAATGACAATTAATATGGAATTCCTAGCTTTTTTGGTGTATTTTATTACAATTAACGACTCATAAAATAGGCTTTTAAAATCAAAAGAAGCTAAACTATAAAAACGTTTCATTTGTTTTCAGGAACCCTAGAAAATGAAACGCTACGCCACCAAGTAATATTTGAATTTGTAATGTCATAACCGGTTTCTAAACCGGTTTTAGGCTCACGTCAAAACGTCAAACAACTGAATTTAAAAATTTGCAAAATTTAACTGCCTCTAAAACTTGAACCATAGCTTGAACTCGCGACCTTTCGTCTGACGAGTTTTGACCTCATTAGCATTAATAGAGGTACGTGCAAATATTTTTGACAAACTCGTCTCTTAGGTCAGGTGTGTGTCTCAATTAGTTTTTAGGGTTCCTTAGTCAACAAGAACTTAAAAGCGAGGTAGTTCAGTCTGTCTAACTCAGAGTGTTCCAGCGACTCAGTCCTCTTTTAAGGCCTATTCAAACCTGAGCGATATTCGCTGCCGCTGTGGGTAGAGGTACATACCGCGCGGGTTTCGCTCAGGTATTTAGTATCAAGTATCGCGGCTAGAGTGACCTGAGCGATATTCGCTGCCGCTGTGGGTAGAGGTACATACCGCGCGGGTTTCGCTCAGGTATTTAGTATCAAGTATCGCGGCTAGAGCGACCTGAGCGATATTCGCTGCCGCTGTGGGTAGAGGTACATACCACGCGGGTTTCGCTCAGGTATTTAGTATCAAGTATCGCGGCTAGAGCGACCTGAGCGATATTCGCTGCCGCTGTGGGTAGAGGTACATACCACGCGGGTTTCGCTCAGGTATTTAGTATCAAGTATCGCGGCTAGAGCGACCTGAGCGATATTCGCTGCCGCTGTGGGTAGAGGTACATACCACGCGGGTTTCGCTCAGGTATTTAGTATCAAGTATCGCGGCTAGAGCGACCTGAGCGATATTCGCTGCCGCTGTGGGTAGAGGTACATACCACGCGGGTTTCGCTCAGGTATTTAGTATCAAGTATCGCGGCTAGAGCGACCTGAGCGATATTCGCTGCCGCTGTGGGTAGAGGTACATACCACGCGGGTTTCGCTCAGGTATTTAGTATCAAGTATCGCGGCTAGAGCGACCTGAGCGATATTCGCTGCCGCTGTGGGTAGAGGTACATACCACGCGGGTTTCGCTCAGGTATTTAGTATCAAGTATCGCGGCTAGAGCGACCTGAGCGATATTCGCTGCCGCTGTGGGTAGAGGTACATACCACGCGGGTTTCGCTCAGGTATTTAGTATCAAGTATCGCGGGTAGAGCGACCTGAGCGATATTCGCTGCCGCTGTGGGTAGAGGTACATACCACGCGGGTTTCGCTCAGGTATTTAGTATCAAGTACCGCGGATAGAGCGTTTTCTCTGCCGCAGACGGTAGCAAATACCGCTTAGGTCTGAACAGTATTATTACCGCATACCCACTAGGTTTTCTCTGCCGCAGACGGTAGCGAATACCGCTTAGGTCTGAATAGGCCTTTAGATTGGTCCACGGGCCAAGTCGTCGGATTGATATTTAAAAATATTTTTTCATCAGGCAACTGGGCCAAGACCAAGCTAAAATTGGGCCAAGTCGCTGGAAAACTCCTCAAACTCAAAAACTTTTGGTGCTTATTTACGAGAAAGCTACAATTTGGCTTAAATATTTTTTAATAACTTCCTTTATCACGTAAAATTAGGTTTTTTTCTTGTCTTAAGACCATTTTTCAACTAAAAATTAATTTTTAATCGCGTTTTTCTACCATTAAAAATATTATTTGATAGAAAAGATTACGTTAGTAAACAACAGTCGTAAAATATTAGTGTGTGTAACCGTTTAAAATAGAGAAAATTTCCAACAAGTAAGATGAGCGCTAAGAGCTTCCTCGTTGTGGATCATCATCATCATCATTTCAGCCATAAGACGTCCACTGCTGTACATAAGCTTCTCCCAATGATTTGAATAATGACCGGTTGGTAGCGGCCTGCATCCAGCGCCTCGTTGTGAATAAATAAAAAAAATATCACTACGGAACTCTACTGCGCGTTAGTGTCTCTTACTTCGCCGCTTGTTGACTATTAATTTATACAAATAGATGATGTTAACTGGCCATAAAATATCTTAAGGACGGAGGAACAGCGTAAATGGAAAAGGTAAATAATTTGACAGTAGCTCAAGCTCGACCTTCACTGGCTGGGTTTTATTCGCGGTCAAGCTGTAGATCCTGGCTACACAGGAGTTGCAGTGGTGGGAACGAGAGGTGGGAATAGCCCCCGAAAATAGCTCAAGTTATTCTGTTAATAAATTTTAATATGATCAATTTTGAGGAATACTTATTACAATTCGCAAATTATTATGGGCTGATTTGTCAATAATCGAAAAACTTTTATCTGAAGAATAAAATTGGCCTATTGACAGTTTCTGTATTTTAATTTGGGAAAGTTCAAGCTCTACATTAGATTCTCACAATATATCTAAGAATGCTTAAGTTTTTTATATTACCAACCTAAAATGTGGTGAGAAATCTTACTACCTACCTATATAAATTATCTGCCAAGTGGGTCGAAAACAATAGAGTTTGCTTTTGTTTTAATTTTGCGATAATTTTACGATCTTTAAAGTAGGAAATGGGGAAACCCCGTCTTCTTAGTTTGAGTTTTGTTAATCCAAATAATAGGCTTTACAAAATCAGAAGGTTTTCTATTTGATTCGACTCGCAAGTAGATTTGGCCACAATATGTCATACCAAACTTTTTTGTCTCCTAAAAATAATACAGATTTTTAACAAGATTTTTGAACTACGATTGATGTCACATTAGAATTTTAAGTAAGGTATTTCATATGAGTAATAGCTAGAAAGAGAGGATTTGTCTGATTAGGTATAAACATTCCATGTCAAGGTACTGAAAAGATTGAAAGATAATAAAAAAAATCTACAAAGAATCAATATAATTGCTCATGTTTGCGACATTCTTTTACATACTGAAAACTACTTTCTGATACAGGCTGATTTCTGATTCACGCGTATGGATCTTTGGGCAAAAGGTAATTTTCCAAAACAAAGAAGAAATATGTATGAACAGAACAGTCAATGTCAAGACCAAAAGACCTTGAATGAATATTTCGATGAACGAGAATGACTCGCTACATAACAATCAGAGAAAGTCCACCGCAACCGGTTTGTGGATTCAGGCCAAATAAATATTATAAAAAACGAACTTGTTAAGTAAACGAATGGGACAGATTCTTTATTAGAATTATTGCAAATTAATTAATTGTTCGGTGACCTAATTATTAATTTATTGCCATGATACTTGGTTAAAACTCACAAAAAAGCTCTAAAAACTTTTATTTTTCACAAGTTGGCTTTCAAAAATCGCTTTTACACGTCCCAGTATTAACCCTACCACTGCTTCGGGACAATAAATGGGCCAGTGCTGAGAAGAAGCAGCGCAAGAAACTCAGTCACTATTGTCAGCCTCTTTTTCAAGGGTTTATGAAGTACATCTAAGCTGATTACTTTTTTGTTGAGTGTAGAGTGCTTTTCAAATTTTATTGCGTGTCTAGTATCTTTTTGTAATTTTATGACGACATTTAAAAACTTTTAATTACGTAATAACAAGATTGATTGTAGAGCAAGAAAAATGCTTTTTTTTTTCAAAAATATGAGGATATTTTTTTACAACATTTTCGAGGAGTTACGCGAAAAGTTTTTATTCTTATTTATGAACGGAATAATCTGAAAAAACCTGGGGCAATCTTGTAACTTTGGGAAAACTTAATTTTATAGAATATTATACATTTAAAAAAAATTACGACAACGTCTTGAGTTTCGGGTCAGCTTGAATAACTGACTATCCACAATCAGTGTCATCACATACAGACCTACAGAACAAAACAAAGAATGTACTGGTATTATTGTAAAGTGTGTGTTAAGTGTGTTAAGTAACTCATAAACTCTACCTAATGCTTCCTTACAATTGTTACATAACTTTATTATAATTATGTACTCACATAATATAAAAGATAATAAAAATACACAGGTGCATACTTATTAACAAGGTTATGATAGATACCTATGTATTTTTATTATTTATGTTAGTAGATTTCATGCATTAAAATCTTTTACTACACATAACTCGCTACAATATTTTTTTTTTCACGAATTATTTCAGTGTTGAAATTGAACTCACCTACAGCCGCGTCCTCGATGCTTTTAGTTTCATGCAGTTTCTCTTCAATCACCTCACTTTGGTTTAAATTGTAACTTTCAGTAAAACCTACATTTTTGGTTGCATTTAAATTTAAACTATCACTTAAATCTACCCCCGCATTCACCCTTGCCCCAAAAGTGGGGCACAAATTGATAAATAAAAACAAATAAACGAATGTTAATTTTGAGTCCATCTTGACGAATAACGCTAGCAAAATATGGAAGCACGGTATAAACCACTTGATTATTTCTTTTATGTCCATTATTTGACGTTCATAGTTTTTAATCGCGATATTTTGAACACGTTAGAATCTGTGCACAGAGTACGTCATCTCTCCGCGGCGTTCGCCACATAACTGGACTTCGAATCGTCGCCCGCGCATTTCTTCTTTCACTCTCTGAGTTTGACAGCTACACACGGTATCGGACGCACACGGAAGCTTGACTTTCGCTTTTTAGGGTTCCGTACCCGATAGGTAAACCGGAACCCTATTATTAGGGCTGACAATAGTGACTGAGTTTCTTGCGCTGCTTCTTCTCAGCACTGGCCCATTTATTGTCCCGAAGCAGTGGTAGGGTTAATACTGGGACGTGTAAAAGTGCTTTTAAGCCTGTTTTCAAAAATAAATGAGTTTTAGGTATGAGTTTTTTAGGGTTCCGTACCCAAAGAATAAAAACGGGACCCTATCCTATATTGACAGATATTTAGTTTTATATTCTTTTTTAAATAAATGTAACCTATGGTCTGGGACGTGTAAAAGTGCTTTTTAAAAGACGATTTGCAAAAATAAACGAGTTTTTTTATAAGTTTTTAATAAAACAAATATTCAAGACCCATACATCAAAAATCGTCATACGGAACCCTACATGCGCGAGTCCGACTCGCACATGGCTTTTCATTATTCCATGTCCTTAATACGGTCATTTTAAATCAATGTGCAAGACACAGCCTTTTACACGGCTATTCTTCTAATTAGAAAGCTACCCACAATTTTGTGGAATATGTTTGTTTTAAACTGAAAACTAATTAGTTTATTTGTTATGTAAATATAGAAAATTTCACTGTTTCGCGTTTAGAAGTAACGTGAGATGAAAGTGAAGGTAAGACAGATGGGCATAGTGTTATTATTATACTTTACAATTAAGCTCTTTAGTTAACGTTTCAATCAGCTAACTGCGTACCTCGCTGGAATGCGACTCTCCCTCGCACTTATCAGCACATCTCCCCGCGTTTGCCTCGTCCGTACCAGAGCGTCGATGTGACGTCACTGCAGCCAGGTGCGCAGTTAACAGGACCGGTTGTAATGCCGTCCACTGCTGGACAAAGGATGCACAGATTTCCACAACGACTGATCCTTTGCTTATAAAAGTCCACTGCTGCAAGGCTGGGACTGGGACTAACGCCATGATAAAATTTTATCGACGTTTTAGACGATAAATGTATCCTATCAAAAACAATACTTGTCAAAAAAACCAAGTCTCGCAACTCAGTTGTTCTACGGTAAAAAGTTGTGCCTGGACTTGGTATTACATGGATCTCACAACTTTTTACCGTAGAACAACTGAGTTGCGAGACTTGGTTTTTTTGACAAGTATTGTTTTTGATGGGATCTCATTTCTTTTTGTATTTTGTAGACAGCAGTTATGTATCTAGAAACTGGACCGAAATTGAACAATTTTACTCGACTTGGCGGTTGCACTACCGTGCCCCCAAATATTTTAGTTTTTCCTTGATTCATACACCAAACACTACTTATATTCCAAATTTGAAGCTTCTAGGTCTGCTAGAAGTGCCTTAGAGTTTTGATGATCGGTGAGTCAGTGAGTGACAAAATTAAGTAACTTTGNCCTTAGAGTTTTGATGATCGGTGAGTCAGTGAGTGACAAAATTAAGTAACTTTGACCCGTTATAATTCTTAAAGTACTGGTTCAAATTGAATGAAATTTTAAATATACCGTGTCTTTACAATGCCTGCATAGCTAATGAAAATTCAGCCTTCTAGTTTTATCCACAACGAAGTTACAGGCAGTCGAAAATGGCCTGAATTGCTTCGAGAAAAGGATGGTACGGCCGTGCCGCTTTTTTGCTCGACTTGGTGGGGGCACTGCTGTGCCCCCAGATAGGCTTATAGCGCAAAATCGATAAAATGCCTCGACGTCCTACTCATCAAGGACCAAGGAGCACAAAAGAACATAATCTCCTACCTTTTTTTATCTTCAAGCCATCGGTTCATAGAACTTAAATAATACATACAAGATTTGTCTGTACATTGTGCCACTATAAACTCATGCATCTAATACATATGAATTGTTAATCAGAAGTAACTAAACCGGAAATATGGCCATATTTTATTACAATGAAGCACGCAAGTGTGGCAGGAGCGATACAGAGTCTAGACTCTACATTTACAACGTCTGTTAACTGCGCACCTGAACGGCCGCGGCCGTGAAGGTGCGTACGGATTGCGCGTACCCTGGGTACGCGTACTCAGTACCTATACGCGTATCTGGAACGCCTAGTCCATGTATGTATGGACCAGTCCATGTATGTATGGACCAGTCCATGTATGTATGGACTAGGCGTTCCGGATACGCGTATACAGGGTACGCGCTATCCGTACGCACCTTGACGTTACATCGACGCTCTGATACGAACGGATTGCGGGGAGATGTGTGTGACTGCGTAAAATAGGCTACATAAAGGTATGACGGATTGTACAGCGACCCTAGCGGATACTTTCAAGAACTACAATCTTCATAGATTTTTTTGACGCGGTCACTAGTGATGTTTTATGTAAACTCACACTAAGCCCTCTGATGAGGCAAGCTCGCACCTCACGTGTCTTCAAGACCTATGTACCTTCAGTCCTGACTGTATGGTTCTGGCAGACCAGAACAGAACCGCTCCTGGTCTTCCCGTGGATGTCGTAAGAGACGATGAAAAAATAAGCGCCCATCTATTCCCACCTCTCGTTCCTACCGCTCCAACTCCTGTGTAGCCAGAATCTACAGCTTTACCGCCAATAAAAACTTAACCTCGGTCAAGTTTGTCCCGTCAGGCTTTTTATCCTGGCCAGCATGGGAAGTGTAGCCCAATGCCCAAAACCTCCATTTGTTTCTTTACAGAGGGTAGTGGTAAACAAAATCTTAAGATGAATCGCAGCACACAATATCTTGTGGTTCGTCCAATCATGACCTGCGCGAGTCGTGAGACAGTCGGATTCCGGCGGCTATTATAATGACATCAAGTGACAGTTCATTGGGTCTTAACACTTGGGTGCTGTAGTGGTGGCAAACTAATATTTTGTATGTCGATATATCACTTTTTTATTTTTATCCACCACGAGGAAGCTCTTGGCCTGTATCTCACCTGATGGTAAGTGACGATCAGGCCGAAGGTGGAAGCGAGCTTCATCCAGAATCCTTAACCACGGAGGAACTGGCTATCTTACCTCTAACTGCCGGAACACAACAATGCTGTTTACATTGTTGTTATGGCGACAGACTTATGTAAGATGGTGGTAGCTAGCCAGGCGGACTTAGAACAAGCCCTACCACCAACCAAACCGAACAGAAAAATCTGCTCCCACTGGGAATCGAACCCGGGACCTCTGCGTCTGAAGCAGGTGGTCTTACCACTAGACCATAGAGGCGGTTAAACTCTCTCAGTCGCTCGCTCTCGGTCACTGTTTGCTCTTAGTCAACACTGTACCAAAGTTGTAATGAATATGACACATTCAACTACTGCACGGAATGTATAATTCGCCCGGTTGGTAGCGGCCTGCATCCAGCGCCTTCCTGCTACCTATAAGGTCGTCCTATGCCAGCGACTTTAGTTCGTTATGTTAGTATATTTTCACCATTGCCACAGAATAAATACTACGTTTCTAGACCACGAAACGTTAATACCACAGTACCTATCACTAAGGCTAAGTTGCATCACCTAATTTTGAGTGACTTTGACCGTACTAAAACGATATCCGGTGTTTTTTGTATGGAATTTGACAGATTTTTGACGTTTGTTAAAGTTACCTAAAGTAAGATGGTGCAACCCAGCCTTAGATATTGCTAGTTTTGAATTCGATTGCTTTTAGCGTCACTATTGACAGTTTATCGATGTTAAAACTGAGCGGCAGCACTATGGTCCCACGGTGTAGCGAATTGTTTGACCTAGAGGAAGAAAGTATTTGGTTTATTGAGTTTAACTAGGAGAAAACCGTTGACCGATGGGGTCGAAGAGTTCATATCTATAGGTCTAAGCGAGCACATTCTGGCGCTAGTAGTCATCATCATCATTTCAAACACAGGACGTCCACTGCTGAACATAGGCCTCCCCCAGTGATTCCACAATGGCCGGTTGGTGGCGGCCTGCATCCAGCGACTTCCTGCTACCTTTGAGGGCGCTGGTAGTGGCACAAGAAAAATTACAACATAAATAAGATCCGTATGAGTACCAAAGAGTCCAATAAAGCCCGCAGAATTGCCAAATTTAAGTGGCAGTGAGCTCACGTAGTTCGTAGAACAGATGGCAGTTAGGCCAGAAAAGTTCTCAAGTCGCGACTACACGGGCCGAAAGACGTATTTATATTAACCGGCAGACAGTGTTGACTATGTTTATTGCGGCGCTTCTTCTCAGCACTTGCCAAATGTTGGTCTCGAAGCGCTGGTATGGTAAAATGATTATGAGACATGTAGAGGCTCCTTAAGAGCAAAATATTTGACGATTTGTAAGCACTATTTAATAGTCTATACAAAGAAGAAATTTTGACTTTGACTTTATTTAGTTTATGCAGTCCTCTCACTCGGTAGACCGACGATGTGGTAAAGGAAGGTAGCAGAAAGCTCCTGGATTCGGGCAGCGTAGGACTTGAGGGGAGGCCTTTGTCCAGCAGTGGACTTTTTGAAACGAACATAAGCTCTTACGCCCGTATTCACAAACATTACTATGAGGTCTCACAGTGTACGTGGACGCACAGGGACACACGAACCAATCACAGAGCTCTATTCAACGCTGTGTGTTCGATTTGCTGCTTCGCTTAAACTAGCATCGTTTGTGAATACGGGGGTTAGTGTAGTAAGTTTTTACTTTGGTTTCTAAGACTAAGTAATCCATCGGTTCATTCCACCATCTAAACCATTGTACCTACCTATTCTTTGCAAATACTTTGACTTTGTTGACACGTATACAAACATAGAAACTCAGTTTTTACTATTATGACTCGTATTATTTTATTATAATCATTCGAAAGTGGTCTACGTCCAACAGCGTAGGCCCAAACCACGTTTCGAAAAAATCTCAGTACTTATCACGAAATTGAGAGAAAGTACAAAATGTACGCATATAAACTAACACAAAATTATGGCGCGTATTTTATAACTAGTCGTTTAAAGATAGTCATGTTGTTTAATGTTAGTGATAAGGGCACTTTCCCATGATATATGACGTGTAGGTAGTAGTAGTAGTAACCTACTTATAATAATAGTACTTACATTTTTCCCTTGGTTTCACCCGCGTGGGGCTGTCGCAGAAGTAGTTAACAATTAAAAACATAAATATTAAATGTATTAATCTACTATATAAAAATAAGTCGGGTTTTCCTTCCTGACGCTATAACTCCAGAACGCACAAACCTATTTTCACGGTTTTGCATTTGTTGGAATGGTCTCGGGCTCCGTGAGGTTTACTTATATAGCAAAGAAAATTCAGTAAAAATAAAACGGGATCCACGCGTACGAAGTCGCGGGCGGCCGCTAGTAATCTATAAAACTCATTTACTTATACAAGTAGGCTTTTTTAAAAAGCACTTTTACAAGTCCCAGTATTAACCCTACCACTGCTTCAGGACAATAAATGGACCAGTGCTGAGAAGAAGCAGCGCATACTAATATTATAAATGCGAAAGTAACTCTGTCTGTGTCGCTTTCACGCCTAAACCACTGAACCGATTTTGATGAAATTTGGCATAGAGATAGTTTGAGTCTCGGGAAAGGATATAGGATAGTTTTTATTCCGGTTTTTGAAACAGGGACGCGCGCGATAAAGTTTTTGTCACAGACAAAATTCCACGCTGGCTGAAAGCTAGTTTGATATAAAAGTGGACTTATTCTAGAACAGAATCTAGAGTTAGTAAACGTTAAGGTGCCAACTTAACCGTAACTATAACCTTAACCGGTGTTGGAATTTGACAGACTTGACGTTTGGGGCAGGCCTATGTTCAGTAGTGGACGTCCTGTGGCTGAAATGATGATGATGATGACGACCTCAATTACACACGCCAGTTGGCCCCACTGACTACTGATGGGACCTTATTCGACAGTGGCGCCATCCTGTGGCCTAATTCACGTATTTTGACAGATCTCACTGACGATCAGAAATCGTCCCATTGAAAAACAGTTCTAAATCCGTATTCACAAGGGTTATTTTGATAGAACGATTACTCGATAGGATCGTAACTCAGTGTTTTGCTGTCGTTGAAGTTTTGTTACGTGAATGAAGGCTACAGGTTTGATAGCACCAGCCTATGAGTGGTCACTGCACACTTTCTTTGGAGCTTTAATAAGTAATAATTAGTGCCAATATTCAACGAAATTGGTCACTATCTAAAAATATGTAAGTAAATTATTTTTTTTTTTTTTCTAAAATCGGAAAAAATCAAATTATATCGTCGCTTAAAAGAGCACAGCGCCATCTATGAGACGGAGGCTACACTACATGGCAGTCGCAAAAGCACGCTCAGAGAGAAACCATGATCCACAAAATCTTTAACGCGCTCCTTGTAAAATATTTACAAGTCATAAACAATATTTACAAATCATAATATTATGAAAGATAGAAAGAAAGAGAAAGATAAAAGGTTTCTTGATGAAAGGTTTTAAATAAAACGTTGCGGATAAAAAACGACTTAATTGTCTAGTGTTATAAACTTCCATGATTTCCAATATTTATCTATTGAAAAACCATTATCATTGTAAAGAAATGGGTGAAGGTATATAGGGTGAATTATCAAGTATAATAATCAGATTTATTTATTTATTGACAAAGATCTACCAACAACACAACTTTACATAAACAAGTAATGCATGCAATGATGACAAGACCAAAAGATGTGTGATTTAATTTTTAATACACATCACAATAGTGTCTAGTATAATTTTGACTGCAAGATTACACATTTGTGAAAGGCAGTTTGGTTAAAAGCAGAAATCGTAATTGAAAGCAAAATCATATCAATCCGCTGAAATGTGATTCTCCCACCCGCTTACCCGCACCCTTCCCCGCGTTCGTCGATATGACGTCACGGCTGCCAAGTGCAGTGCGCTGTTAACTCAACCGGGTTGTATGATAGAGAAGAATCTATATTTCAGGCAGGTCACTGATTGACTGACTCACTCATCACGAAATCTCAGAAACTACAAGTGCTAGGAGTCTCAAATTTTGCATGGGGGTTCCTTTTAGAACGTAGGTGCTCACTAAGAACGGATTTTACGAAACTCCACCCCTAAGGGAGTAAAACGGGATCCACGCGTACGAAGTCGCGGGCGGCCGCTAGTAAAATATAAATGAAAGACATCGGAACAGAAAATAAATTCTTTATTAATGTCAATAATATCCAATTTAATCAGATTAACTTATATTTGTTCCAAAACAATATCTTTTATTGAAAGCGCAATCAGAGGTAAAAATAACTGTAGTGAGATCGCAAACACATCACATTCCAACTATTAAGGCTCGGCCAAAGCAACGCGTGTTCCCTGCGTGCGCGGTGGCGATAGCGATCAGACTTGTATGAATTTGTAGCGATGAGTTCAGATCAACGCGTCCTGTCAATGGCCGCGGCAATTAGCGAGCTGTAGGTCTAGACAAGTAGCACTTTTAGATCGAATCGAATCCGTTGTAAACTCTTTACAAAAAAAGGTCTTTCGACCATTTTTCGACATTAAAACTGTCAGATTTTGCAACTTGTCTAGGGGGCCAGCCCCCTAGACAAAACGCACTTTTTGATCGAATCGAAAATCGAATCCGTCAAAACTCCATACAAAAAAGGGGCTTTTCGACTGGTTTGCGATTATAATTTGCACTTTGTCTAGACCCACAGATCGCGCTTGTTATTTTGACGTTTCTCATGCTAAATGTCTGAAACGCGATCACGGTAATGTGAACAACTTTTGCACGCAGTGATCGCCATCGCGCACGCAAGCTGCACGCGTTGGTTTGGCAGAGCCTTTAAAAATTATGATCGCAGCCTTGAGACGTGTCAATTGGCACATAGTTACAGACCATAAAGTTAATATTCCGTCGGAATAGAGCAACAACTACGAGCTGTCAAACGAAACCGATTTTGGATGACACTGGATGTCACTTGTCAGGATTATTTCACTGTTTTTTACAACAAATCAATCACTGAATCAGTCACCATGTTTTTGAAGCACTATTTCTCATAAACATCCACGATTTCACTCGCGTAAAATCTGAAAATATCTCAAGAGTTTAAATTTTCTGCGTGCCACTAAGTGCCTCTAAACTGTCAAATAGTTGCAAAAAACGGTTGTTTGCATCACGCATCTCTTTTTATCACAGTGTTGCTGCTAGTGACATCTCGCTCGCTCAGTTCTTTGTTGCTCTATCCCGCTAGGTATATTAACTTTATGTTACAGCCTTGGGAAACAGATATTTAGCCAAAAAAAGTGTTTCTGCAGTACTTACACCAGGGTTGCCAAGCTTTTAAACAAATTATTTTTGAACCTGGCAACCGAGCGCGAATAAACTGAAGGTGTAAGACGCCTCCATATAAAACGGTTCTAAAACGTTATTATTTTATAATCTACTTATCTATTTATATACAATACACTGTGTGTTTGAGGTATATTTTTTATTATTATTTTGTACTGCAATTTTTTCGTTCTACATTATTATTCATATATCTAGTAATATCATATTATGTCGAATTTATTTTTCCGTAACATTTGTCTACATTTTACGTATGGTTACGTATTTACTATACCTTATATATGTAATAACTATATATTTTATTATAATAACTTTAACAATGGTTTTCGTTTATTGGCACATCACTGACTTGGCATATAGTTGTGTGAAGGACACAACCGCATCAAAATCGGTCCAGGGGCTGCGTTAAGAATACTTATATCAACGGATATATAAATCAAACGCATATATAACTAAAATACTTTTCTTTTGAAGAAAATAAATCTAAAGAGACCGATTTTGATAAATATTTTTATAAGTAGTCAATACTTTAATACTATGCGTTCGGCGTACTATAAATATAATACTATAGTTAATAAATACACAGGTATTGTTGTATGTCACTTCACACAACTACATAAATGTAACTACGACTAGTATGTTAGCAGTGCTAATATATTATGACACATGACACGACCTGTCAAAAGTACAATGACCCTAAAAATGGGCTCTTTTAAGTCCACCAGGATGCTAAGTACTAACAAAAGAAATTATAACAAAATGGATTAAAATAAAATTATTTTACGTGATAAAAACTAAAGAAGTCGCGTAAGCATTAAAAAGGGTTTTAAAAAGTCCAAAAAAATAATGTTTTTGATTCTAAACTGACCCTAAAATGGGCAAAAAATCAAAGAATATGGCAGTTTTATACTTTTCTATAAATAAAAATTATGCTTTAGCTGCCTTATAGTTTTATAATACTATAAAAGTAAGCTCTTAACTTATTAAGTGTTCTACAACTAAAAAAGTAACATAAAAAATAAGCTATGCAAAATATAAGTTTCAAAAAATAATTCTTATCATGCAATTTTCCGATCAATACAACACTGGTACAAAAATGTTATAATACTTTACTTCGAATTTAAGACGACAATTTAGTCTTTTTCATTAAAAGTCATAATCAGATTTTTTAATTTGGCAACACAGAAGGCCATAGACAAATATCATACAGATTATGTAACATACAAAGCTACAATACTTATTGCTGTTTCGATTTCCTATTCAATACTTAGAACAACATAATTGCACCAATTTAATCAACTTTTTTATAGTCATTAACATAGTTCGTGTTTCGAACACCATGTAATTTGACAGCTGTCAATTTTTCCTGTTTCTGATTGGTTGATCAAAGACAAGGTGTCATTGACAGATGCGTCAAGCTGAGTAAATGTTAAAAATAAGCAGGTATTTTTACCTATCAAGACATATTATGTTTGCACCGAAAGATAAAAGGCAAAAAATCGTGCTAAAATACGCATGGTGAAAATCGCATTTTGTTATTAAAATAATCAACAAAATATAAGTAATTTAAAAATATCTTTCGCAATACTGACTTATTTGCAATAAAAAATAGACAGCTTAAATCACAGACCACGTAATATTAAAAAATAGAACGAGTAAAAAAGTTTTTATTTGTTTTAGTTTAAAAAAATACAGTTGTTTATTTGGGTACTTTATAGGCAAAAAATGTTGCCATTATACTGTTTCTGTTAAAAAACTACAATTTTGGAAGTATTAAGTGGTCTGTGGCGTTAAAATAAACATTAAAAAATGGGTAACTACAGTAACCGATGGCACTAAATGAACTAGATCGTATGAGTGACTAATGTCGATGAAGTATTTTATTTCTTGGCCCTTGGCCAATCGATGTTGCACGTTCATTACATTCGGGGTTGCCAATTTACAAAAACATACCATTTGGTAGTTTTCTAAATAAAATTAGGGTCATGTAAAAAGGAAATATTTGAAAATACGAGTAAAATACTTATCACATTTTGACATTGTCTTAACGATGAGTTCTATGTAACACAAGGCCAAAATAAATATCACAGCATTGGCAACCCTATACATTTGAGACAAATGTAACAAATCATTCACGGTCTTTGAATATGTGTATACTATGCTTAAAGCATGTATACTGGGCCTGATATTTGAAGTTCGGTATGTCCTCTTTACTGGTTAAAATATAGCAATTTTGATACTTTTTTGATGCTTTCTAAAATTGTCTTTGCATGCATATTCTGTCTTTTTCCTTCGTATATCGATAAAAAGAGACACACTGACTTTACCGCGAGATAGATCTCTCATCAGGCCCATCCTATCACTTACGAGTGACTTACAACAAATTTATTGTCATAAATACTTTCAGAAACATCTTACTTGGCGCCGGCCTTCTCCAGGAAGTCCATTTTGAGCCGTAACTCGATGAGGAAGAGTTGTTTTTGCAGCGAGAATATTTCTTCCTTCTGACGAAGTTCCATGTTTAGGATTTTCATTTTCGCCTCATGTTCCCAGATGGCGTGTTGTCTTTTGGCTGTGAAATACAATCTTTCTTCTTCCGTCGCCGATCCGCAGTCGTGTTTTATTTCGTCTTTGTCCTGGTTCTTTTCGTGGCCATTTTTTCTTCGGTCATCGTCCAGATGGCTTAAGTTTAAAGGTGTGTTTGAGAGCTCGTTTAGTTTTTGGATTAGGTTCTGCCGGATTCGGTCCTGTTCGATCACTTGTAAGGGGTTGGGGAGGAGGGGTAAGTGGGGGGGTAGAGAAAGGGGGTTGGGAAGGGGTTTGAGGGGGGGCGTGGGGGAGGAATGGGGTATTATTTGGACTTGGGGCTCGAGGACGTTGGGCATCGTGTCGTCGCTATCGTTCGTGCTTGAGAGTCGGCCGTTTGACATCTGGAAACGACATGTTTATAATTCAAATTGTTGTCGTAACACATCCAGGATATAATACCAAAGTTTTGATAAAGTTTATTTCTATGACTATAGGACATCCAGTGCATAAACATAAATCATAGTGCATATTATCGTCAGATCAGCTTATTTAGCTTAACACAAGGGGCTAACGGGACTATTAGTAATTTGTGCAATACAAATTACTAATAACCTTTAAAAAAAACACATTTATTCACACTACAATTATGTGGTCGCGATCCTCATCAGCGAGAGACCAAAGAAGAAGAAGATCGTTTATTCTCTAGAGCAGGGTTTCCCAATTTTTCTTTGCCAAGGAACCCTAATTGATTATACTTTTCCTAGCGGAACCCCCGTACTACTCCGCCCGCACGCCCTGCCCCTCCCTTGTGCGTCAACAAGACGGTGCGCGCGAACAACGTCGGTCACGAAACGTGGGATAATATTTTTTACGGAACCCTTGCGGCCTTTCCACGGAACCCCAGGGTTCCGCGGACCACCATTCGGGAATCGCTGCTCTAGAGCAGGATACCAGTGGAGGATTTAGCCTAAACTCTCTAAGCTGACTGGACTGTTTGGAGAGGTCTGATGTTCGCATAATTGTCATCTTTCATTTGTCATTGGACACCTATCAGAGTGGTAATCATGGTACAGTCAAAAGCACATCATTTTAGCTGCAAAATAGCCTGTATTACAATGTACCAGTCGATGAAGCACATGATGTCGTGCCCTGAGTGCCCGAGCAACTGCACGCAGGAAGATATACGCCCGTATTCACAAACGATGCTTGCTTAAGTGAAGCAGCAAATCGAACGCACATCGTTAAATAGAGCTCTGTGATTGGTTCTTGGGTCACCCTGTGCGTCCACGCGCACTGTGAGACCTCATAGTAACGTTTGTGAATACGGGCGTTAATGAAGGCTACTGACGGCAGAGTTTTGGGCTCACACTGTGTAGATTTGATATCACTTTTATTAGCAAGCTGAAGTGGCAATGGGCAGGGTACATAGTACGCAGAACTGACGGCCGATGGGGCAGCAAGGTTCTGGAGTGGAGGCCACGTACCGGAAAACCATCCACAAGGTGGACCGACGACCTGATAAATGTAGCAGGAAGGCGCTGGAAGCAGGCCGCTACCAACCGTGCGATGTGGAAGTCATTGGGGGAGGCCTATGTTCAGCAGTGGACGTCCTGTGGCTGAAATGATGATGATGAATAGATGTTAAACTCACGTTAACGGGCAGGCAGTCGTCATCTTTGGCGCTGTGTGCTCCGTCCACACTCAACGTCGCCTCGGCTTCTTCCTCTGAAACGAATATCATATTAATAAGGATTTTTTGGTCTGAAAATGCAAAACTTAACTTAAACTTAAACCCCCGTAATAATAAATAAAAAGTTACACCTTAGTGGAACCCTGAGGGCCTATAAGCGCGTTAAAAAATGACATTAAATGTATGACGGATTGTACAGCGCCCTTAGCGGGAAACGTTCAAATACAAAAAAAAAATCATACATTTTTTAAGCGCGTTTGATGTAAACACACTCAGCCCACTGTTTTAAAGTGACGTTTAGTATGTAAATGGAAATAAAATATCTCCTATTGTTTATTTCTGTATAGTCAAATTTTTGAATTGCCAAAGTTTTTATCTAAAGCCCGGTTCCACCAAAGCGGAGTTTCTCATCTCCGCTCCGTAAAATTATATAGAAAAACTAGCTTTCCGCCCGCGGCTTCGCCCGCGTGGAATTTTGTCTGTTTCAAAAACCGGGATAAAAACTATCCTATGTCCTTTCCCGGGACTCTAACTATCTCTATGCCAAACATCAAAATTGGTTCAGTGGTTTAGGCGTAAAAGCAAGACAGACAGACAGAGTTACTTTCGCATTTATAATATTAGTATAGATGGAATACTGTATTTCTTAATACTGAGGCCATGAAAAAACAAAGATAATAATTATTACCTTTTACGTCTAAAGGAAGTATGTTTTGCCAAAACATTCCGTCGAGCAGGCCGGGCGCCTCTGCCTGGGTTTGCTGGAACAATAATGATGAAACTTTATAGGACTACAAATTGCATGCTCATTGCTCAACATTTGATATTGTTCACCTCCTTGCAAATACTGACAAACGTCTTGTCAAACATCTTGGCAGAGATCTTGTCAAAGATCTTAACAAACACTTTGACGTCAAGCATCTTGGCAAAGATCTTAACAAACACTTTGACACTCAACTCTCACCTGTGCAGCTGTGGCGTGCGCACGCATCTTCACATAGTTGCAAACATATTGACAAACATCTTGACAAAGGTCTTGCAAACATGACTCAACTGTCATCTGTGTTATGCGCTCGCATCTTGTGCATATTTGCAAAAATATTGGCAAATATCTTGTCAAAGATCTTGGCAAAAATCTTTACACTCAACTATCACCTGTAGGAATAGCCTGCACGTATTTGCAAAAATATTGACAAAGATCTGTACAAACATGTTAAAGATCTTCTTACCTGTGTGTCGTGCAGGCCCATCTTACTGTCCTTGAAAAACATCTTGTCAAAAATCTGCACAAACATCTAGACAAAGATTTTCATACCTGTGTGTCGTGCGCGCGCATCTTGCACTTCTTCTTGTAGTTCTCGTACCACATCTTGACCTGCGCGGGAGTGCGCGGCCGCTCGCCGCCGCAGCGTTTGTTCACCTCCTCGCAAATCGTCGACCACACCAGCTGTGGGCAAACGAAACGCCATTTTTATTTCTTTATTCAATTTAAAAATATCTACAGTAACACACTGTTGCGATGTTTTGAGCTACTAAAGGATTAACTCAAATAAAACAACAATAGTATTTTACTAAGACAAGACGTATTAATGTTGTTCAAAAATAGACTGTAGTCACCAATGTATGTATGGAATGTAGCTAGAGTCTGCATATTGTAGTTTCAATAAAAAAAATGTTTGGGCCAAAAGATACTTTGCTTGTGTAAGTCAACACCGTACAGCGCCATCTGTTGGTGGCGTTTAGAACTTAATAGATTCAGCTATTAAACAGTGCCTAAACTATATCTTCATCATCATCATCATATCAGCCACAGTGACAGGACATCCACTGCTGAACATAGGCCTCCCCTAACGATATCCGTATTGTACGGTAGGTAGCGGCCTGCCGCCAGCGCCTTCCTGCTACCTTTACGAAGTCGTTGGTCAACCTTGTGACTGTATCTTATAGTAAGGTAATACATAAAACCAATAAGAACTTCATCAGGTCATTTAGCCTCCACTGCAGGAGCATGCATGACCCTCTCTTATGTGACTGCACCATCTTACTTTATTTACCTTTAGCAAACGTCAAAAACCTGTCAAACTCCATACAAAAACATCGGTTATCGTTATAGTTCCCGTCAAAGTTAGGTGGTGCAACTCAGCCTTAAAAAAGACTGCAAACTACATAAAATAATAACAATTTGAAGTGACAAAGAAGGCTTTAAACGAAATAACACTAAGTACAAAACCACAGAACTCGGAATCAGATAATTCCAACTCGATATCTTCGTTAAAACAATTACCTACCGAATGCTAAATTCCCCACACTGATTAATCATAAAGTTGACTGATTAACTTCACAAAGAAACAAATCTATACTAATATTATAAAACTGAAGAGTTTGTTTGCTTGAACGCGCTAATCTCAGGAACTACTGGTCCGATTTGAAAAAAATCCTTTTGTGTTGGATAGCCAATAGGGGCGGAGCAGTAAAGAAAAATGTTGCAAAACCGGGAAATATTATTTAAAAAAAAATCACGAGTACGAAGTCGCGGGCACAGCTAGTAAATAAAATACAGACGTGCCCCCAGTGCAAAGTTTGTGCTTTCAATTATTATAAATTAGGTAATAGATAAGATAATAAAATAATATGATAAATAACTCACATAGCTGTACAAGTGGCTCTGGTTGTCCATCGACAAGCACTCGCTTTGAAAAACAATGAAATAATAACCGGTGGTTCAAATTCGATACGTCATAGAGTAGTTTGTGGATAGATAGGTCGGTCGATTGATGTCACGAAAACAGGGTATTAAGTCTAGCACTTAACTCAGTGCCTGAGGTATGGAAGCGGCACGGGAGGGTGTTTGTGACGGTCAAACGTCAGCGAGACTCAGTACACCCTGTCACGTCATAATATGTCAATGTCACCCCTCCCATACCTCCAGAAGGGGAGGAGTGACATTGACATATTATGACGTGCCAGAGCAAACAAGCAAGAGCATATAGATGACCCACGCTGAACTGTCCCGCCAAACTCAATGACAGGGGGGCGCTACCATCGTTCAACTATATGGTTTCCAACATGGCAAAAATCTGAACCAGCGATCCGGTATTGACGGTGGCGCCCCACTGTCAATGTCATCGACAGGACAGTCCAGTATTTTGGAACTATATCTGACATCTCGCTGACATTTGACGTCTCAAAACCCCCTCCCGTGCCGTGACACCGACTGATTTAACCTTTAGATATCTTTAGAAAAAGCTACTTGCGTTTTTAATTTCGTAAAAGAAGTGTATTGATCACAGAATTGAATCTATCAAAGTGGCAGACATGTATGGCAGAATCTTCAGCTTCGAGTATGTCTGATTAATACTACTTCGACCCAATTAACAACTATTATACGGTTGGTTTAACAACAAATAACTTCACAAACACACACGTTTAAGGATATGTAGACGTCTTTATATCACTAACTCTAAATTACATTTAAACTCGTTTTACAATAAAAATGAAAATAAAATACCTACTGCAGTTCTTTTTTTCTTATGGTCTGCTTATGTCGAGTTTTGGCGTAATTCTTATTTTTGCCGTGTGGGTTTAAAGAACATTTTATTTATAACAAGTTCACATAAACAGCGGACAAAATGCTATGCTAAATCATAACATTGGTACTTGGTGGTAACAGGACTATTCCCACCTCTCGTTCCCACCGCTGCAACTCCTGTGTAGCCAGGATCTACAGCTTGACCGCCAATAATAACCCAACCAGGCGGTAGTGTGTGTTAGAATCCCACATAACTCGCCGTTGATCCCAGACGTTGAATATGGTCAGGCCGTTTTCCCGGGAAAAAAAAAGGTCACAACGCTGGTATACTGTGGAAGCCAGAAAAATAACTCTATACTGTTCTAACATAGCTCGTAGTTGCTGATGACCGTTGGAGCAGAAAAGTTCTAGAGTTCCGAAAATCTGGTGAAGGTCGCAGGACCGGTCGTAATGGATATCCTTGGAGGAGGCCTTTGTCCAGCAGTGGGTGAAAATGAACGAAGCCATATATGCGTATCATCATCAACAGCCCTTTACAGTCCACTGCTGGACTATGAGCCTCCTCCACTATAGTGGAGGGTTTTGCCATAATCTCCACGCTTGGCAGGCGGGTTGGAGATCGCAGTTTAAAGATTGATGTTTTTCAGAGAGCGCTGCTGCCCATTCTCTGTTTGATGTGTAGTCCCTAAGTCGCCTCTTACGACACCCGCGGGAAGAGTAGGGGTTGGTGACAAATGTACTCTGCCGTCACCACACGGCTGCGTATACAGTCTTAAAACTACTAAATCTCAAACCCACGTAGAGATCTGCCTTATCAACTGATACTAGAATTTATAAATACGCTTAGATGATAACTCTATGTTATACATTATTATACAACAAAGAACTGTTTATCATCATTACTATCGGTGATGTACGATTATTTAATCAATATACAAGTATCAAAGTAAAATTCTTAACGAAGGAAACATCTTTTTAAAGTAAATTTCACAAACTTAATAAGCTAATTTTTTGTATAATAATTGAATATACTAATACTAGCTGTAATGACGTCCACTGCTGAACATAGGCCTCCCCCAATGCTTTCCATGTTGCGCGGTTGGTAGCGGCCTGCGTCCAGCGCTTTCCTGCTACCTTTATTATGTCGTCTGTCCACCTTGTGGGTGGACGTCTTACGCTGCGTTTTTTGGAACTACATACTGGTCCGATATGAAAAAATATTTGTAGTTGTATAGTCCATTTATCAAGGAAGGCTTTAGGCTTAACGTCACTCTACAGCCAATAGGGGTGGAGCAGTAAAGAAAAATGTTGCAAAAACAGGAAATATTATTCAAAGATTCAAACTACGTATTTTCACGCGTACGAAGTCGCGTGCACAGCTAGTATAGCGGGCAAATAAATTAGATACCACAGTGTTAAACTTAATATGCCGTTGGCTGTACAAGATATTATTATGATACTAAAACTGTATTTGACCTTAATCTCACCTGATGGTAAGCGACGATTAAGTATAACTTGAAACAAGTTTAGTAAAATTTAAATGCTTATTTACAGTATTGCCAATATGATAAATTCATCACATAAATACGTGCAGTATTTTAACTTTCTAGCTCACGCGATAAACGGGACTATTCCCACCTCTAGTTCTTACCGCTGCAACTCCTGTGTAGCCAGGATCTACAGCTTGACCGCCAATAACCCAACCAGTGAAGGTCAAGTTTGTTCCGGGGGAAAGTTAAACTGTCATTGGACCCGCAACGAAAGTAATCAGAAGAACATAGGTGGAGTTCGAAGTTAGGGTTCGCCTTCCAATATAAATAAACATCGAAAACTTTAAAAAAATGTCTTATTTTATTTCGTCTCAATCAGCCAAATGACGTCCACTGCTGGACAAAGGCCTCCCCCAAGGTTTTCCACGGTGAACGGTCTTGCGCTGCCCGCATCCAGACTCTTCCCGCGACCTTTACCAGATCGTCGGTCCACCTAGTGGGAGGCCTGCCCACGCTACGTCTTCCAGCCCGTGGTCGCCACTTGAGAACTTTCCTGCCCCAACGGCCATCGTCTCTACGAGCTATGTTTTATTTTATTTATGACTAGATTTTCTTGCGCTATTTCTTCCCAGCACGGACCTAAATTATTGTCCCGAAGCAATTGTAAATTATAGTTATACTAGCTGACCCGGCGAACTTCGTACCGCCTATGTCCATCAGAAATAATCTAGAATTCTAATGGCGAAAGAATTTTTCAAATCGGCCCAGTAGTTTTGGAGCCTGTACAAACAAACAATAAAATCTTTCCTCTTTATAATATAAGTGTAAAAATTCAACGCGCTAGAAATAATATATGCCTTTTATTTTATGAGTCCAAGCGCGCCTTTTAGGCAGGTTGTTCAATTAAAATTGACATATACAAACTATTCTTAGACCTGTCTGTCATAATTTACTCTATGGTGAGCTTACACGCGCCGCCAAATTGCAAATGAAGCAGTCTTCAAGTTACTTGTTACTACTCAGAACTGTCAAAATGTACGTAGAGTCAGAAGACTCACGCCCGTATTCACAAAATCCCAATCCCAATCCCAACTAATATTATAAATGCGAAAGTAACTCTGTCTGTCTGTCTGTCTGTCTGTTACGCTTTCCCGCTTAAACCTCACAACCGATTTTGATGAAATTTGGCATAGAGATAGTTTGAGTCCCGGGAAAGAACATAGGATAGTTTTTATCCCGGTTTTTGAAACAGGGACGCGCGCGGTAAAGTTTTTCTGTGACAGACAAAATTCCACGCGGGCGAAGCCGCGGGCGGAAAGCTAGTTTACTATAAAGGTAGCCTTTCGAACTAAGCGTCACAGACGCAGCGTCTTTAGCTTTGGTCTTAAAGGTAGCCTTTGGAAGCGAGTTAGTGAAGCGGCGTTGGTGGCACAAGACCAAAGCTAAAGACGCTGCGTCTGTGACGCTTACTTCGAAAGGCTACCTTAAGGTATCACAGTGCGTGTGGACGCACAGGGTGACACGAATTAATCACAGAGCAAATTCAAATCAAATATTTTATTCAATACATACTATTACATACGCCCTTTCCAGGGCACTTATACACATCCCAAATATAGCTTGCCCTACCACCACTTCGGGACAACATATGGGCTGGTGCTGAGAAGAAGTGGCGGAAGAAACTCAGTCAACTTTGTCAGCTTCTTTTTCAATAAAATACAGTAATTTATAGTTTACATGACACGCAATAAGTGCGAGCTAGGCAGGTAAAATCCACGCACTCTTGTCATTCAAATAATCGTTAATTTATAGTGTCCTTTTTTCATAAGGATTTTCTTAACCTGTACTTTGAATTTATGAATAGGTAGTTCTATAAGAGATTGTGGTATATTAATAAACATTTTAACACTATTCCCCAAGAATAACCTATCTACTTTATTCAACGTTCGATTTGGGTCTTCACCTAAGCAAGCAACGTTTGTGAATACGGACTTATGTATTTACCCTATTTATAAGCAAATAAAGAATTTGAATTTGACGTAAGACTTCTGAGTCAATTTCCATTTTGCACTTTAGAGCCTTGCTTAGGATATCTAAATACCACCCATAACCCGTTGTATTTAGTTAATTGTAGAATAAAATAGACCAGTTTTGTAAAATATGCGACTATAGTTCCGTCCAAAAAACTTTGTGATATTGATAAAAAATGATTTCACGAAGTTTATGGCATTTTTATTGGTTTACTAAGTTGACTGATAAATTCCATGATTTCTTAGATCTAGAAATAAACTAACTTTCTTGGCACTAAACATTCAATGGTCGGGTTCCATCGGCGTTCAAGCTGTAGATCCTGGCTACACAGGAGTTGCAGCAGTGGAACTGGGAATTAGTACATCTGTCCCGTTAAAACTTTTCTAAACCATAATGCCTCCGTCAGAGTTACCACAAAAAATAACAATTGCGGTACACAAGTTACTAATATTTCTGCTAAGCTAATTAAAAAGCCAGGGACGTCGACCCACAAGGTGGACCGAAAACCTCATAAAGGTAGCAGGAAGGGGCTGGATGAAAACTCATTTATTTTTGCAAATAGGCTTTTAAAAAGCACTTTTACACGTCCCAGTATTAATACTACCACTGCTTCGGGACAATAAACGGGACGTGCTGAGAAGAAGCAGCGCAAGAAACTCAGTCACTTCACTATTGCAGGCCGCTATCAACAAGGCAATATGAAAATCATTGGGGGAGGCCTATGTTCAGCAGTGGACGTCCTGTGGCAGAAATGATGATGAGGCTAAATGTTGTTAGGAGTGGGTTCACCACAATATAGTTTATTTCGGTGACTGACGGTGTTCAAACAGCGACCTTTAGAATCAGGATTTCGGTGCCAAAACTTTTATGTTCGTTTTCACCATCAATCCCAAATTTTTAAGCGATCCCTCCCTATTTTAACACGTAAAGGAATTTTGTTTTCCTATGGGTCACTTAAAATTAGGGATTGATCGTGAAAACGGACATTAGTCAATCAAATAGGATTGGACTCTCCCAATCAGTACCCGGATATACCCAGACATTTTTGAAAACCATTTCAACCTTAAAAATCTTAGAAAAACCCGGGGAATCCCACACGAAGACCTTCCCTAAATAATACCAACCTTATTTTATGTTATCATTTGTTTCAGTAGCTGCTTTAACCGTATCTTTATAGTTTAGGTGAACCGGTAATTAACGGGAACATCGATTGTACTATCTCGGATCGGCGATTACCGATTACTCGTTCATCGTCCTTGAGTTAGCTTAATCTACTTATCAGGTTACACGTTCGGTTAAATTACGTAAATTATGTTATTTTTTTGTCATAGGTGCGATTATGATTAGGTACTTCAATCAATATTATAAGATTTGAGACCTCGTGGATAGAAACATACTCTCGATTCGCAATGAAAAATTACTGAGTTATTTTTTTCCAGTTTGGTTGGTATACAGGATGATTTTTGCATCAGTATCCAAATTTTCAGGATCGACTCAGAATCAGTAACTTAACTGATTTACGTAAAGAAAACAAAACTTTTTTCTCCATATTTAATTATTTTCATCCGCTGCGCGCGGTTTCCAAATTGACTTACGTGGAAAATTTGCTTCGTTCATGGAAAAATACGTACACACAGTTAACTGCAAAGCTTAATAGACATAATGGTGAGCGAAAATAAGCAATAACCTTTAAAACTTAAGATATGGGCACCCGCGGATTATACTTTCAATATTTTTTTTGCGAAAAATACCACAATTAAAAATAATTACGATAAAGTTGTATTGTCAAATTGTTCTAACGAGCTTATTAAAAAAATGTGGATACTGATAACAAAGTCACCCTGTATAGGGGTTTATTTGAATAGGATGGGGGTAAGTAGGCTTCCCTGCCTCTGGTAAATTAAAATGTGTCGTGCTCTCGCAGCGGAGACTAGATAACCTGATGATAAATAAATAAATAAATAAATAAATAAATAAATAAATAAATCTTTGGACAATTTCACACAGCGCCAGCTAGCCCCAAAGTAAGCAACTTAATGCTTGTGTTATGGGTGCTAGCTTAACGGATATACTACTTGTATACTATATAATTAAGGTTCTGGAATGGAGGCCTCGTACCGGAAAACGCAGCGTCCACCTCCAAGGTGGACCGACGACATCATAAAGGTAGCAGGGAAGCGCTGGACGCAGGCCGCTACCAATCGATCAACATGGAAAGCATTGGGGGAGGCCCATGTTCAGCAGTGGACGTCCTATAGAAGAAGTGGATATGGATGTGTTGTAGAAGTGGTTTTGGGTGCATTGTAGAGGTGGTTTTCTGGAGAAAGATCCTGGCTACACAGGTGTTGCAGCGGTGGGAACGAGAAGTGGGAATAGTCCCGTTTAGTACCTGTTTGCTGCGGTTGGTGGCGTTGTAGAACTGGTTATGGGCAGTGCAAAAGTCCCTGTTGTAGAAAGAAGTGGATATGGCTGCGTTCAAGAAGTGGTCATGGCTGCGTTGTAGAAGTTGATATGGATGCGTTGTAGAAGTGGTTTTGGATGCATTGTAGAAGCGGTTTTGGGTGCATTGTAGAAGTGGTTTTCTGGAGAAAGATCCTGGCTACACTGGCTTGCAGCGGTGGGAACGAGAGCTTAATAGTCCCGTTTAGTACCTGTTTGCTGCGGTTGGTGGCGTTGTTGGAGCGGCCCTGGCGCAGCACGTCGCGGTGGCGCGCGATGAGCTCGAGAACGGTTCTCTTCTCGAGCTCGGTGAAGTTTTTGGAGCGCTCCTTGTGGTAGTGGTCACTTGTGGTGACTATGTGCGCACTGGTACCTGTTTGCTGCAGTTGGTGGCGTTGTAGAAATGGTTATGGGCAGTTCGAAAGTCCCCGTGTTGTAGATGTGGATATGGTTGCGTTCTAGAAGTGGTTATGGATGCGTTGTAGAAGTGGCTATGGCTGCGTTGTAGAAGTGGTTTTGGGTGCGTTGTAGAATTAGTCATGGCTGCGTTGTATAAGTGGTTTTGGGTGCATTGTAGAAGTGGATATGGATGTGTTGTACAAGTGGTTTTCTGGAGAAATATCCTGGCTACACAGGTGTTGCAGCGGTGGGAACGAGAGCTTAATAGTCCCGTTTTGTAACTGTTTTCTGCGGTTGGTGGCGTTGTAGAAGTGGTTATGGGCAGTGCGAAAGTCCCCGCGTTGTAGAAGTGGATATGGTTGCGTTGTAGAAGTTGATATGGATGCGTTGTAGAAGTGGTTTTGGATGCGTTGTAGAAGTGGTTTTGGGTGCGTTGTAGAAGTGGTTTTGGGTGCATTGTAGAAGTGGTTTTCTGGAGAAAGATCTTGGCTACACAGAAGTTGCAGCGGTGGGAACGAGAGCTTAATAGTCCCGTTTAGTACCTGTTTACTGCGGTTGGTGGCGTTGTTGGAGCGGCCCTGGCGCAGCACGTCGCGGTGGCGCGCGATGAGCTCGAGAACGGTTCTCTTCTCGAGCTCGGTGAAGTTTTTGGAGCGCTCCTTGTGGTAGTGGTTACCTGTGGTGACTATGTGCGCACTGGTACCTGTTTGCTGCGGTTGGTGGCGTTGTAAAATGGTTATGGGCAGTGCAAAAGTCCCCGCGTTGTACAAGTGGATATAGTTGCGTTCTAGAAGTGGTTTTGGGTGCTTTGTAGAAGCGGTTTTGGGTGCAATAGTACCTGGTTGGTAGAAGTGGTTTCAGGTGCATTATCTGTTTATTTATAGCACTGTACATAGTACCTGTAAATAGTCGGTTGGTAGTGTTGTAAGTAGTACCTAGGTTTTTATTGGCGGTCAAGCTGTAGATCCTGGCTACACAGGAGTTGCAGCGGTGGGAATAGTCCCGTTTAGTACCTGTTTGCTGCGGTTGGTGGCGTTGTTGGAGCGGCCCTGGCGCAGCACGTCGCGGTGGCGCGCGATGAGCTCGAGAACGGTTCTCTTCTCGAGCTCGGTGAAGTTTTTGGAGCGCTCCTTGTGGCCGCGGCGCGCGCGCATCGCGCTCGCGCTTCGGGTAGACATGTCAGCCTGCAACAATGGTGGCTGTTACTACATAGTATAAAAAAAACGCTTTCCGCTGTCTATCCCTGGACCCTTAGATGTATGCTTAGATCTTTAGCCTAGGCGCATACTATCGATTTTTCGTCGGCCGATAGTTTAGTCGGGCAGTTGATCAGTATTGGCATGTATGGAAGTGCGCACATTACACCGATTTGATATGGCCGATTCTTCATACAATTTAAAATCAGGCAAAACTATCGGTCAACTAAAAATCGGTGGTCTGCGCCTAGTCATAAAACAACGCAACGGATGGTGATAAGTACGGTTTTTTTTAAACAGATAGAGTGATTCAAGAGGAAGACTTACATTTTAGCACGTGCGAAGCCGGGGCGGGTCGCTAGGTAATATTATATGAAAATTTGTGAGCGAGCATAGATGGATTCACACAAAAAGACTAAACGAATTTTAATTCATGCCCGTTTTCATACTTGTGAAAGAAATGTAAATATTCGAAACTTTTGCGCGAGAGATAAAAAATCGAAATTCAGCCTCAACTTGAAACGCTCAAACGTTTTCGAAAACCATTAAATCACTTTCCAAAACATAAAATTCCTATCGTGATCCTGTTTTCTCTAATCTAACAGCAATTATTTGACAGCACTTACTCGGAATTGCTTTAAAACCTGATTTATACAGTCAGCATCATAGTTCGTGACACCCAAAGTTGGCAATAAGTTCGCAAAACGGCTTTGTTACAATAGGCTAGTTACCTAAAAAAGTTTAATAGTCCATCAATTAAAAAAAATTGGACACGTACATTTTTAGTTGTCAATCAAACAAATAATTACTAAGTTATGGTGCGTTGAAGTTCCGCGCGACGCGACGTCACAAAGTGCTGCACTTTTAAGCACTCATTGACGTCACGGGCTTTTTATTATGAACGTTGGCGCGATTATCTTTTAAAACTTTCGACAGTGTTAAAAAGTGAAAAACACGTGTCGAGTATTTTTTGATAAATTAACTGAAGGACTAATTAAAACTGTTGCTTTTTTTTTACCCAGGAAACATCCATATTGGAAAAGGTCCTTACGGGACTATTCCCACCTCTCGTTCCCACTGCAACTCCTGTGTAGCCAGGATCTACAGCTTGACCGCCAACAACCCAACCAGTGAAGGTCAAGTTTGTCCCGGAAAGTTAAACTGTCAATGGACCCGCAACGAAAATAATCAGAGGAACATAGGAGTTCGAAGTTAAGGTTCGACTTTCCTCCATAAAGTTGTGATATCAACTTTTTGGCTACTTTGAGTGTCACAAACTATTTGAAACTGACTGTACCAGTGCCATTAAGTCGGACTGGACTGGTTGTCGCAAGGTCTCAATTACAATTATATTAAAGGACATGATCTGCAATCGTGGTGAAAATATTAAGGCAAATGAAAATTTGTTGTTAGACAAAATAAGTTGTGAATTTACGAACATTTACGCCCGTATTCACAAACGATGCTTGCTTAAGTGAAGCAGCATCGAATCGAACGCACAGCGTTGAGAGCTCTGTGATTGGTTCGTGTGTCAACCTGTGCGTCCACGCCACGCGCTCTGTGAGACCTCATATTTAATAATGTTTGTGAATACGGGTTTAACCGCGACTATAATAACAGTAACCGGTGTTTTTTTTGTATGGAGTTTGACAGACATTTTTTGACGTTTGATAAAGTAGACGTAGGATTTTTTTTTTGGTAATTTTACAGTAGAGCATTTAAGTTTTTTTTTGTTTTAACTGTGTTTTAAGATTAAGTTTCATATGACAAACTGCAAGAAAGAACTGTGGGTCTAGACAAAGTGCAAATTATAATCGCAAACCAGTCGAAAAGTGGTCGAAAAGCCCCTTTTTTGTATGGAGTTTTGACGGATTCGATTTTCGATTCGATCAAAGAACTCGAGGTTCGATCTAATCGCAAAAAAAATTGCCCTCATCGGGAATCGAACCCGCAACGCTCCCATTGCAATCTCATCCTCACCACCATTCCACACCCACAAAATAATAACCAAAAATAACAAAACTCGTGGAAAACGTGCCAGTTTAACATTTGGCATTTCGATCACATGGACATGGAGGAAAAAAAGAAAAAGTTTTGTTTATGGTACAACGCGAGGTAGTTCAAAAATGAGATATACTAGTTTTTTTTTCTAAAGTTTAAATGTAAATTTGATAATACAAGTTTACACAGAACCTGTTTGAATAACATTTAAAGCCAGCTCTATAGTTTAGGATTCCTTTTACTTGGGATACCGTAAAGGTATTTTGGACCTGTATACAGGGTGTAAACGGGAACATTCCCACTTCCCACCGCTCGTTCCCACGATCAAAAGGACTTTTTTAATGAGCTATGTCTATATTTAATTATTATTTAATGCCACATAAGTTCCCCAAGGCGAATTTAATGTCATAAAGCATTATCTGCCAGTTAACGTTCCTAATAAATAAATAACGCAGAGGTCCCGGGTTCGATTCCCAGTGAGGGCAGATTTTTCTGTTCAGTTTGGTTGGTGGTAGGGCTTGTTCTAAATCCGCCTGGCTAGCTACCACCATCTTACCTAAGTCTGTCGCCATAACAACAATGTTAACAGCATTGTTGTGTTCTGGCAGTTAGAGGTAAGATAGCCAGTTCCTCCGTGGTTGAGGATTCCAAGAACTTCCTTTTTGTGGATAAAAAAAAAGTGATAATTTATTTACCAAACTTTTTATTTTATTTTAGTGCGTTTTTTGGAGTTGGTTCTATTTTCATCAGGGTTCGAGGATATATATCAAGGGATATACGAGTATATCAAGCCGGTTTTGATGATATATATCAACTTTTAAAATTTGTTACTGTATTTGTACTTTTTGACATAAGATTTTTATTTTTTTAGTTGATTTTGCCGTATTTCAAAGATATTTTATGTTTTTGCTTTATTTGTCTGATTTTAAGTTTTAAAAACATTAAAAACATGTTTATGTAACACATATGCAATAGTATTCATGAATAATACAATAAAATAATACTATGGCTTTCATACAAAATTGATATATATCAAAGTTGATATACAGTGTGTCCGGGCTTGTAGTGATCAAACTTTAAGGGCGCAATCTATGGACAATTTTATCGATGAAAATACTTCAAATTTGGGGCTTGACCCATTTCTCGCAAAATTACGAGGATTTAAGTTTTTAATTTTTAGTTTTCACCTCTTCCTTCAAAAACAAGTGAAAGCGTGGGTAGCTTAACAATAATAAGCAAAAATTTTATATCATGCGATAGCCAATAAAATTATCTATTAGCAGAAGTAGAAAACAGATACAAGTTTCATGCATTTTAAGGGAGTAAGAATGAATTTAATTAGAAAAAAACATGACTTTTTTTCACTTCTTTTTCAGTTATTTTCCAACACAAGAAAAACCAGGTCGTTAAGGTATGTTTTATTTGCATTGTATTATTAGTATTTGAGCTATTCTACAAAACGAATGTAAATTTATTAGTCTACGTCTTTTAGTTTCGACGTAATTGTTGAACAAAGATACCCCTTCCCAGCGGTTTCCATAGTAATCGGAATAGGCTGTGTGATTCTTTCAGGCAGTGCATTTTCGCATGTCGCGTGCGCTATGGAAACCGCTGGGAAGGGGTTTCTTTGTTCAACAATTACGTCGAAATTAATAGACGTAGACTAATAAATTTACATTCGTTTTGTAGAATAGCTCAAATACTAATAATACAATGCAAATAAAACATACCTTAACGACCTGGTTTTTCTTGTGTTGGAAAATAACTGAAAAAGAAGTGAAAAAAGTCACGTTTTTTTCTAATTAAATCCATTCTTACTCCCTTAAAATGTATGAAACTTGTATCTGTTTTCTACTTCTACTAATAGATAATTTTATTGGCTATCGCATGATATAAAATTTTTGCTTATTAGTGTTAAGCTACCCACGTTTTCACTTGTTTTTGAAGGAAGAGGTGAAAACTAAAAATTAAAAACTTAAATCCTCGTAATTTTGCGAGAAATGGGTCAAGCCCCAAAGGATGATGGGCACTTTTCTATGGAATCTGGGCGTAAGACCAACAGAAATGTAACTACTATTATTTGTTAGGACTTAATATCAGAAATATATTTGCATGTAAATAACTATCAAAAACTCCCGGGTTTTCTTGGGAATTGACGTAATGTGTAATAGTAATAGGTCCTTTATTACGCAAACAAAAAATATTATTAATTAATATACTTATCTACTTACATTTTAAATACATTAAGTTATTTATCCATTATTATGTCCAACAGTTCAGGAGTGGGGCCAACAAATGGTATATTTAAACCATGTTCTACATTATACTCGTAAGCGTAGGACCATACCTAGGTACCATTTAGAGAAATGTCATGAACACAGTCATGTTTCAATGGGATTTCTACCAGTTAAGTTGTAGTGTTGTCGCATAATCGATCACGGATCGATTATTAATCGATATTGCCAAATAACGATTTATCGATTAACAATTCGATTAATCGATTTTATTGATACCATCATTACTATCATTTGATTGTTAATTCAATTCCTTATTTTCAGCAATATAATCGATTATTGCAATCGAATAATCGATTATGATTTATTCGGTATACCATACTTACTAAATCGATAGAATCGATAGTAAGATACGAGTATGATACAATACTCTCAATATGATCGATAAAAGCAATCTAATTGACGTAATACTATTTTTATTACCCTAATGTGATGTGAAATACTATGTAAACTTTGCATATTCAACGACCTCTATCTCCGTATCCCCGCGTATTTCAGGGTTGTTGTCATACTATGAAATGAAGTACTAGTATTAAGCTTTAATTTAGTATACTTTTTGTTTCTGTTGGTTTAACGCCCAATATGCCCATCATCCTTTGAAGTATTTTCATCGATAAAATTGTCCATAGATTACGCCCTTAAAGTTTGATCACTACAAGCCCGGACACACTGTATATCGGATATATATCATAA